CGTCCTATTGGTATGACATTCAGGTGAGACATTAGATACCCTAAGCCAGACTATATCTGACTCTTCAGTTAGGACATTGATGTATGGAGCCGGCCCTCCATGTGCATTCAGCATCGCTCTCCGTCTATAGTTGAGGACATTAAAGGAAAAGTCGTTGACAATCATCCTTCTACAAGCCGAGAAACCCCTATACAGCAACGAGACGATTCTAGAGCTGATGGGTCTAGAATACTAAACACCCCTAGATCAACGAGAAGCTCCAGTGCCACTCTCGTGAACACGATTCCGTCTACACCTACACACACTGGAATTGGTATCTCAGAGCATGGGAAAGATACCTGCGATCATCCGTCAAATACAAGGCTGGATGCAGGCAAAACAGCCAGATACAGAGACATTCAAAAACAAATTGAAGTCGTTCAAAGATGGCTTGATTCACTTGAAGCTGCTTCTACAATTTTCGAAGTGGACACTGATAAAATTGCCTCAAATTTTGAGAAACGAAAGTCGCTACAGGAGTCTTTGAACGTTTTGAAGCAGCAAAGTGATAAAGTCATCAATGAGAGCTCAGGAAGTCGGCCTCCTCGTTGTCGTGGTCTTTACCCAACTCATTCGGCTATTCAACTTGCCACAGAAAATCGAGACGAGGCTATGGTCAGCGTCATCTCCATCTGAAGTATTTTTCGTTCGGTCCAAGTTTTTCTGACGTTTATTGTCTAGGTTTCGAATCATCTCTTTCAAATGGTGTTACTAGTGAAGTGGTAACTTGTTCTTTTGGGGCATTTAGGCAATCAGTACTACCTTAACTTAACAATTCATAGGGAGGTACACTTACGAAATACATTCCAAATGAAACTTCTTCTAAGTTTAAGCGTAGTGCTCTGTCTCTCAGCAATGACTTTGTTAATACCGTCAGACGGTCCTAGTCGACGTAGTTATGACGGAGATCTTGCCGAAGTCCGATTAGTGCTGGAGATTTTAGTATGGTTTGCCGGCTTTGCGCAGCTCGCTTTATTTATGATTGAGCTACATGTGAGAAAGACTGCCCAGCACACTGGGTCTCGGCCTACTAAGTCTCTGGTCAACCTATCTCAACATCTATTTCTAGGAGGAAGAAGTAAGAATCCCGCAAACTTGTTCAAAAGATAAGGACTTTAACACAAACTACGTAGACTGGATGGTTTTACTATGGTGTATCTTCGTCGTCATTGCTTTTGCTTCCCATTGGATAGTCTTGCCTGACGTTGAGGACATTGCTCTATCGTGCGCAACCGCGCTTGGGTAATGAAGAATGTACTTGTTGTTATGGGACCAATGGCTTACGACAGCGGTATCTTGTAGCTGGGTCTATATTTTCACATACTCTGCGGCTTCAAGACGGTTGGGACCACTCTTAGTAATGCTTCGTGACGTTGCTGGAACTAGACTCTTTTTTTGGGTCTTTCTCTATTCCGTTTTCTGGATTGGCGCAGGTTTAGCCTTGAATCTCGCACGGCTTGATCGGTCAGACACGGATTTTAGCATCTCGCAACGATTTCAGAATGGGCTTTACGACGCGGTTCAAATCACCTTGCAATTGGGTGATTTTGGGGCCATATTTTCTGAAAATCCGACAAGTTTTGCGTGTTTTGTCTACTTGTACTGGGGTGAGTGGTGTTTATAGCCACGTCTTGGTGTTTCTAACATATTTGCGAAACAGCGGTTGTCTCAACGGTACTTTTGATCAATGTATTTATTGCTCTTTTGAATTCTTCGTACACGAGGGCCTTTGAGGATACTGTGCGAGCCTGGAATCTTCAATGGGCTCAACTTCTTTTGGTAAGCCCTAATGTCGATGAAATAAACCTACAACTACACTCAATCTAATCGCAAACGTAGGATTGTGAAGTTACCGAGGAGGCAGGAAAATTACTTGTCGACGGATTCAAGGAAATGTTTGGCGTGAACAGTTCTGCTGAACAAGTGGCAGAAAAGGTCGATCGGCATAGACTCAAATATCAGCTCAAGCATTCTCATATTGGTAGTTCTGAACTTTGGGGATGCGAAGAGACGACCAGCAACTCACGATCTTTCTTAGGTCTTGTTGAACCAAGCAAGAACGATAAATTAGAGGAGTGGCTTGGTCAGCGACGGCAGTTGAAATACGACTTGGTTTCACGATACAAAAGCCAAGGCCAAGTTGACCCCTACTCGTGGATTCCAGATGTAGAAAATGAAGCCCAAGTTCAGGTGAGTGGGTTTGTTTTGGTTTTGAAAATATGAAGGCTTTTCTAAGGATTCGTCTTAAGATACCGGTAAAAGTCTATTTTTTCGACTCGGCCTTTATATCGGCAGAGAACTCGACATATTCACGCAATTTCGACGCGGAGCGTCGAGATTGGGTGGTCGATGTCAAACGATGGTGGTCAAATCGATTTTCCGGAAAATTCCAATCTGAAAGCAAATAATGTTGTGACATATAATGGGACGAGGCCATGTTGAGCATGGAACTCTGTTTGAAAGGGAGGAATATGCGAGACTGGATTGCTACTGAAGGCTGTAGTCAAACGACATAGTTTTTAAAAGAATCAACACGTACACAGAGAGTCAAATACTATAAAGTCATGCCCAAGCTATTTTAATGAACAGAAGTTTTGGCCCGGATAACATGTCTGTAAAAAAGAAAAACGAAAAATGGAACGTAAAGAAAGATATATTTCAAATTTGATGTACATGTTCGCGTTGTTCACTGTTCGCTACGTCGTTCGGCCAAGTCTTGAGTTTCTGACCCGTTTAAAGCGTGATTACTAGTTGAAAGTGCACGGAGCAGCTACCAGACTGTGCATCTGCAGCTATTTATAGCATGTGATGGCCTCTTACGCCCTACTTGGTCCGGTTTGACTCATTTTTGTTCGGAACTTGCTCGACATTTACGAATGATAAGCAGTTTTGAATGGGAATTGAAGAAATGCAAAAGCAAGACCGATAAATCTCACGGTGGCGCGGTGAGAGCCCTTCTGTCTAGTTTGAGAACCAGAATTCAGTGTTGGCGGTGCGATTTTTCAAGTTGCGGCAACAGTTGACCATTCTTGGATGGGAAACCTCTAAAAAGGTTTGGGGTAAACGTGCAGGTGAGATTCGTTGGGATTTGAAACCGTTGTGACTGGTTTCGTTTTTTATATTGGTCAGAAAACCATTGCGATTCAAGGTCATCGTGTCGCGATTCGAGTCCCATGCGCTACAGTTCCTGGTCAGTTCCGATGTCTTAGGGTGTTAAAACCCTCCATTTTGCCATATTAAGAAGGTGAATTGGACGGCCGGCTCCTGTATGATATGGTGTGATTTGGAGGTTTTGATGTTGGCGACCAAAATGGCGGACGATTCAAGTGAAAGGGGGACCCGAGAAGAAGGACAAAAGCTCTTCAGAACCTGATTTATAACTGTCTAGCAGTTGAAAGCATCTCAATAGGCTCATTTGGCGAAAAATGCGTCAAATTTTTTAAATTTGATTTTGTTGGTTATTGGCGATAGATCCAGTCTCTTTTCGCTTACCGTTCATTTAAAGTCATGCCTGAGCATCGGATATGCACCTCTCCTTATTGCAGTTGCCTCCGTATTCGCCTCTTTCCAATCGTTATCCACTCTATGGAGTTGTCCAAACTACAGCCATCAGAACTCTCTGAGAGTTTTCTGTGTAACTGCTTTGCGTATGTGGCTTCGCAACTAGTCTAATCAACCGAACTGGTCTACAGCCAAATTCCAAAAGCAGAGGTACATTGAGTCGATCCAAGAAACCATCATAGGAGACACTGTAGTCACTGTAGAAGTAGCTAAAGCTCTCTCAATTATACTGGATGCTTGCCCGGCTTTGGGTCGCGAGTTGAACATGAAGAGAACAGAGCTATACTGGCCTACAGTCTATCCACGTAGACAGAATCCAGGCTTGTTCCCTCCCGACATATGTCATGTTCCAGAGGGTGTCAAGCTCCTCAGTCGTGCAGTCAGTATCAAACCTGACTTTATCAAGAATCTGATCGAGAAGCGAGTAGAGAAGACAGTCGAGCTACGAAATCTCTACATGGAAGCACTACAATTGCTGTGAGCTGTGAGAAAGACACTGTGTGTACGGATACTGACCGAATGAGCACTTGTCAGCCTCTAGCCAGCTAGTACTTGGAACACATAGCTGTACAGATCCTGGGAAATTGAAGACCTCTGAGATTGATTGCTTCACATTGCAACTAGCATCTACATGTGTTTACTCACAACAAGCAAACCTTCTACTAGTGACAGCATCAACGACGCCACACTGCTCATGGGGCTATTACAATGTCAACGATCCTACAATCTCATGGAGGTAAAGCGAGCCATCCAGTGACCATCCACTCCTCTGCATGTCATATCCACCAAGATATGGCATCAAGTGTGGTTGCTCCTTGCCAACAGAGCATAAAAACTGCATGGCCTCTGACGTCTCCCACCGTCTGTAGAAGGAGAACTGCAAGTAGCGGCCTAAGCGCTCTTCCGCCTCCTGAGCCCGAGCCCTATGGACCATAAGACCTTGGTCGGTGTTTCGGTCATTGACTCGGTTCAGTGTATTCTGAACCTTGTACTCTTGGTCAAGCGAGGAGGTGCTAAGACATGGAGTGGATCCACCTTTACGTGGTTGCGTCTTCAGTACTATGGTAGCTGGACCATAAAAACTTCCAAGACCACAACTCAGGTATCCTCGTGGGTATTACTCATTTCATCCACACATAGGTAATGCAACCAATGCCAGTCCCAAGCCCGGAGAAATGCCGGAGAAATGCAGAGGGCCTATCACTAACGACTTACCAACGACTTCCTAACAGTCCGTGTTTAGAAGTAGCCACATATGGCGCTTGAAGAGGATATTTGTAAGAGGATATTTGTGAGGGCATATATCGCCAAACCCCTTGTAACATTTTCAGTAAGGATTCAGTTTATGTAATGGTCAATAGTACACTATAACAGCAAAGCAAGCAGATTTCGTTTGATGTTCATTCAGCCGGTCGAACCTACAACGAAAAAGGGTGTGTAAGGCAGATAAAGTCGAGTAGTTGCATCATCACTTCGTATCAGAGTTACTTACATAGTTTGCAGGGAACACACCCTCTTTACCATTTGCACGTCCCTCCCACCTAATGAAGGAACTATTAACATAGACGAAACGCAGAAGTCGACGTCAACTCCATTCACTTCACGCATCACATACCAATCATCTTTTGAATCAGTTCTCTTGGTCACTACTATAACATCACCACGTGCAAATCGTAAATCTGTAGCTCTTTCACCAGCAAAGTCAAACAAGGCGACAACCAAGTTTGATCCTCCTCCTCTCGTAGCAACAGTCATAGCAGACGAGCGATCAAAACCACCAGATGTGCGTGGGGGAGCACTAGCAACCGAGCCTCCCGCCATTCCACCAGCATTCAGTTGAGACAAGAATCCAGAGGGAGCTGGTGCATCATATTGAGAGTCGGTAGCGTATGACATGCCGGAAGAGTTGTATGCTGTCGAGTTATTATTACCACCAAACCTGAAGTTGAGGGCTCTATATAACGGTTCAGCTGCAGCCGGGGGCTCGACAGATCCATTCAATATTTGTTTGGCAGTGATTCGTTCACCATAGAATTTGGCATTGGCTTCAGGTCTGGACACAATTACAGATCCTTCAATCGATATTCCGGCAAAGAGACCACGAGTCTTTGAGTAAGCGAAAACTGGTGCTAGATTTAGAGCTGACCCAGACGCTTCCGCATTTCGACCAACAGGGCCCTACAAAGCAAAGGGTAAGCATTCGACTTGCCGAATTGATTTGATTGTCAAAATTACCAATGCAACAGATAAATTTCCACCCAATGTAACGTTGGTGCCATGTGAGAAGGCCTTGACAGCATCGACCTAAACAGGTAAAAGCAAGGTTTAGAAATAAAGTTTGTGTTGAACAGTCAAAAATGACAGGTCGCATACAGTATTGAGAATGAAGACGAATTCAGTAAGTTCGGCTCCGACTTGCCCTCCAAATCCAGCACCAGCGACGGCGATCTACAGTAATAAAAGTCAGTACTGCTATATTAAACTATCGACAACTGTAATCTTACCGCGGATGGTGCAGACCAGCGTCCATCAGGTAACCGAGCAACAACCAATCCAGTTCCAGCACGACCAGACCATATGAAGCCAGCCTTTAGAACACTGATGACGGCCAGACCCTTTGCATTCATGAGGACATGAGGCGGAATAATGTTCTTTTCGACCTTGTTGTTGCCCTGTTGATCCAAATGTAACCACCATGTTAGAGATATTTGACTTCGCACATTTCAGGGCGGCCCGAGGACCTCGCTTCAACGGCAATGGGCTTTACAATGACATTTCCATCATATCCTCATCGTTTCGGTCTCACTCTATCGGTCTTTGAGCTCAAAGTGACAAAGACGGCAAGCAAAAGTCTAATGTCCACAGTAACCAACATTTCAACTTGTACCCTTTACCAGACAAGTCTCCAATGATATACGGCACTCCAATCCCCTTAGAAATGTGAGTATCGAATGTTCATACCTTGATAAACTCATCCAAAATAGTTGCAGCCTTTTTGCACTCTCCCGTCAAGTCCTGTGGTAACGGGTTTGGCATGCGGACCGACTCTTTTAATTTGTTCATTGCAAAGTAATAATTATAATTCTCTGTTCACCACCAGTATGTTTATGGCTGTCTTCTTCTCGTCTGATTCTTGCAATGCTGTAAAGTGTTGTGATTCAGGACGATCGAAATTTACAAATTGCCAAGATGGAGGTGGCGAATGGTAGTTTGGTGATCTTGAATCTTTGAAATCTGAAATTTCTACTAACGCCATTTGCCCACTGATTGTACTTGTCTTGGTGCTTTCGATCTCTTGCACACACGTTTTGAGAAAATCCGTAACCGCAGAAACGGAACAGGTCAAAGTTTTTGAGGTAAGTCGCATCTGGCCTTATTCCACGGAGCGTTTAGTTTGTCAATTTTGTTTTCGTGAATGTCTGATCCGTAACTGATGAAGCTGTCAACACTTTGAACATTCGCGTACTAATTGCAACACACTGCACTAGGTTCCAGGGTATCCTTTCAATGGCCGATTCACTGCGAATCGACAATATTGAACTAGACCAAATAATCGTGTTTGGAGATAGTATAACTCAATGGGGATATAACACTGACCATCTCGGCTGGGTTGCTCTTGTCTCGCACGCCTACGTACGCAAGTTGGATGTCCTCAACCGTGGATTTTCGGGATTCAATACAAGGCTATGTAAATATGTGCTTCCTTCCATACTCAACAATCCAACGCTCAAGTTGAAAGCTGCAAAGCTTCGACTTGTCTCAATCTTTTTAGGCGCTAATGACGCCTGCATCGGTGCGGCTTTCTCGCTTTTGCGTCTCCTTTGATGTCGCTAATCATCTTCTCGTTAGCATCTGCAAATCCAAGGCAGCACGTATCGCTGCCTGACTTTTGCGACAATGTCAGACTCATGATTGATACCATACGGCACTACCATCCTGATGCACGAATAATCCTCATATCATGTCCACCCGTGTATCCCAAACGATGGGGTGAACATCGAGCTGGTCAGCCTAACAGAGTCCAGGATCGAGATGTGGACGTGACGAGATCATATCACGAAAGTGTGCTCAAATTAGCAGATGATTTGAACATACCCGTCATCGACACCTGGAAGGCTATATTCGGTGGGAATGGAGAGTATAATGAAGCTATTGCCGTGAGTGTTTTGTCACAACAGGATCATTTCCGTCAAACACGGTCTCTCACAATGTTTGTTACAACAAAAGGCTGATACCCAGATCCTTCATGACGGTCTTCATCTCGGGCCGAAAGGGAATCAAGTGTTGGGTACCGCCTTTTTGGAGCTCATCGCTCTTGAATGGCCAGACATGAAACCAGAATCGATTGAAAGCAAAGTACCATGGTGGGATAAAATAGATGTTACTTCAGAGGAAACGGTCGTTGAATCATTATTTAAATATTGCACTTAGACCTAGTGAATAGAATTGGAGCTTACGTTTTCCCCATGTCGCATTCGTACATAACCGCGAATCAAATATCTGATCACCCGATGCGTGTACCTCATAATAGAACTGATCATTTGTAAGAAATACTCGCCGTTTCGAGCATCTTCTCATTTTCACGTGTCTTCAACACTTTCCGTCCAAAAAACACACTAAAATCTCGATGGCAGCCAGAGCCCCAAGACAACGAGGACCGCCAGCGAGCAGTAGTAACAGCCCACTTCTCATTACAGCAATATTAGCTTTGGGAGCATTGACTGTAGCCTCGGCCGTCTATTGGATTACGAGACAACAGCACACTTCAAATAACATCAATGCCAGCACCAGCAGGACAGCAACAACTACATCAACTATAGCAGACTCGAATAGATCAAAGTCAAAACATAAGAGACTGCTTACAATCTCGGCCAAAAATGTATGTATAAATCCACTCCTGCTTTTCGCATGTTCATAACATTTCAACTTATTCAGCCATCACATGTCAGATCATATTTTGGAATCCGTCCAAGGATCCAAGTCATCCGAATTACGCATTTCTGGAAGGTGCTATACCGACTCTATCCGCAATCCTCGCTTCGGGACTCTATGACGTCCACCTGATTATTGTCGTGGAAGGTGGTGATGTTGAAGCTGCTCAAATCACGTCCCTTATGGCTTCTTCCGGACTAGCTGCTGCAGGACTGGACTCGAGGAGGGTCTTGTTTTGCGATACCGAAGAGGGTAAATCGCATATAGTACGTCACATCGAGCCACAAGTGCATATAGACTCAAATGACGATGTAATTAGTCGGTTGGCTCCGTTTATAAACAGGATTGTCAGGGTCAGGCAGACTAAAGTGTCTGGTAGTAATAGTAGTAGCAGCAATAATAGTAGTGTGCCACAACAGCCAATACGAAGGTCTAGTGAAGCTCCAGGTTTAACTCGAACTGGATCTGTACGCTCACTAGCTCTGAATGCCAATAGCAATAGTAAAGCAGATCTCCTCAAATCTTTACCGCCTCATCATGCCGAAACAGAGCTGGTTGGATTGGCACTGCAAGAACTGTTAAGGAGAGGAAATGTTGCCATGGCTGAATCATTGGATCAGGCCGGTTTGGTATAAACTCTTCCTTTGTATCTAGTTTCGTCACCCCAATATATGTATGCTCAGCATCGTAGAATGCGTTTCAGTACTTTGCAAAAGAGAGTCGTATTGTCGGGAGACCGAAATTTGATGAGTGCAAACTTTGCTTTGCTTTCCCGTAGATTTTTACAGAATTTATATAAGCACAAAACCACTTTATAAAGCTTTGTAAACTTGAGTCTCCCGCTGTCTCAAGTTTATATATGCGTTGAAAGGTCGTTTGCCATCGCGTCTGTTACCTTCTTCTGGCTCAATCTGACAGATTAAGCCGTACCAAAATCGTGATCAAGGACAAACAATCTAATACTGGTCATTCCTACTGCGATTCCTTGACTTTTCTTTAAAGGAAAACACCAGAACTGGAGCAGATCAGTTCAAATCTCATGATCTCATAAAATTATAAACAGTTGTATGTTGAAAGTCTTTGAGGAAGGTGGGGTACCCCATCGTTAAACAGAAATCTTTCACAACCCCCCTCAGCACTTAAACTTGACCGCGATCGAGCAACTTTCGCCTTTAACGGCATTAAAAGTTTGTAAATGTCTGCGGGATAGCATCCATTGTGTGAGGTAACCTTAAACCCAAACTCGCACCAACCCCAGTTAGAGGAGAGAATCCAATGTACTAATTAGCGTATAGTAGTAATCGAGAAAAAATAGTATATACAACTTGCTGTTTATCTTGCGTCTAGCGAGACCGGAGGGGAAGGTAACAACGAAACGGACGAATCGTGCTTTGTTTTCCATTCTAAAAGAGTTTTAAACTTGTCAGCAACCATGTTATTTCGATTGATATATGAATTCAAATTCAAAACGCACCACCACGACCAACATTTGCAAGGGTTGCAACCAACTCTCCAAAATTCACAGGCTTGGTAAAGTAGCTATCAACTCCACAGTCCCATCCACGTTCTTGATCACCAGCGAATGCATTGGCAGAGATGGCAAAGATCGGGATGCGTCGTGGAGGGTCCAGAGTTGCTTCATATTCACGAATGGCTTTGGAGGCTTCTAGGCCATCCATTATTGGCATCTAAAATTGGTGTTGGCAAATCGATTTGAGGCGATGAAACTGGCGAATATTTACCTGTACGTCCATCAGAATGACATCAAATATCTCGCCCGACTTGTATACATCAACACATTCTCGACCATCTAAATTGAGAGTGTTAGAAACCGATACTGCAGCGAACCTCAATATTTTTTCACATACCATGAGTCATCTTAATGCTGTGACCCGCTTGTTGCATTCGTCGTGTGAGAAGTGCTTGACTAGAAAGTTGATACCACTCCTTTAAAATCAATCTAGAATAAAACGAGGCCACAAAACCAACTCACTTGATAGAGTTATCTTCAGCAGCCAACAATTTCAATGCTCTTGGTGGCTTTCCAAACGGAGATCTGCCACCGCCGAAACTCGAAGGAGATTCAGTTGGAGACGTGGCAGATGTAGGGGGACTTGTAAGCCCAATAGACGCATTGCTTGGCGACAAAGATATAGGGAAAGTGGTACGACTTCCACGACGAGATCCAGATCCATCAGTCGGACTTAGTGGTTCAGTCATTTTGGGCAAAACAAACGGTATTCGGCATGTGAAGGTTGTTCCAACACCTTCTGTCGAATCGACTCGTAGCGTACCCTTCATGTTGGTCATGATTCTAATCAGAATCGCATTAGAATGCTTGTGAGTTGTCTTCAGTAGCGCATCATTGTTTAATACTTGCCTTGAGACAATGGCCATTCCCAATCCAGTCCCTTGCACTTTATGACTGAGAACATTGGTGATTTGCTCAAAGTCTAGAAAGATTCGATCGAGCTTGTCTACAGGAATACCAATGCTAAAAGAAGGATCTGTGTGAATGATAGACTTCAACGTATTGAATGACGCCTCATTTTACCCTGTATCAGAAACTTGTATTTGTATCAGGACACCATCTGGAGGAGTATCTTCCACTTTCTGGCAATGTACTTTGATACAACCCTTTTCAGTAAACCTAGAGGTTTGGCAGGTCTCTTAGAATTGGTACGATATGCGTATCAACACAACAATGCAGCACTCACTTGAGAGCATTGGAACACAAGTTGGTGATTACTTGACTAATCTTTGGACCATCACCAATGACAATTTGTGGAACATCATCTTCACAAATCACATCAAATATCAGTCCACGTTTGTTGGCTTCGTTCGTGAATATAGGAAGCGTGCTCTCCAATACTGATCTGATAGCAAAGGGCTCTGATCGGAAGAGCATTTTTCCAGCTTCGAATCTATTGTAGAAAGAATCAGCCGACTTCTTTCATAGTGTCAGAATACGGTTTTTACCTTGTCAGATCCAACAAATCATTGACAATGAAAATCAGAGACTTGGATGCATTGTAACAGGTAATTAGCGATTCTCGTAGTTGCTCTTCCATAGGACTTTCGAGAGCGAGCTAACAGTGTTGTGATAGAATGAGTGTTTTTGTCAATACAAGGACCTAGTGAATTGGGCTTCACAGCCAACCGCTTACCTCCAGATAGCCAATGACGGCATTCAAAGGTGTGCGAACATCATGACTGACAGAACCAATCAACAGATTCTTCAGTCGATTCCTGTTTTCAGCTCGCTCCTTTTCCCTCCAAACATTCATGAATCTTCCATAGACCAGCTGCAACATACTAGCCATTTCTAGAGTTTCAGGTGTCCAGGGATTCGCTAATCCTCTGACCGTCTCTTTCCAGGTTGCGAAGGAGACTCTAAGTGAATATTGTTTTTAGCAAGGACCAAAAAGGGATAAACGACGATTGCACACACCTTGGCTCGAGACTCAACGTTTCAGGATTGTAAGTAACAGGTTCGTTAGGGTCGCCTGCCCAGGACACAGTCTGAATTGAGAAAAAAAGAACAGGTTGGTCAAAACGATGTACTTCGAACTGACAACCAGAACTTGTGTGCTGTGCTTTCATTCTTAACTTACTTGGAGTTGCTCCAACCGACAGAACAACACAAAATCACCAGGACCGCCAGCGGGCGTGGCAGCAGATAACGGAATACACAAAAAGCCAGCCACAGAACTACACACTTCAGGCGCGTATTCCCTCAGTCTGTCCGTGCTACATATCCTTTCGAACTGTCTCGACTTGACAAAATTTACAATAGCAATGATTTCAGACGCATCTACAGTAGGTTCTCCTAATAACTTAGACTCTCCATCTACACTCAATATTCCAAAATTGGAATCAAATAATGTTAGAATGTCAGCGACAGTCCTAAAATTTGTGAAGAAAATGAAAGCCAAAGTCAGCACAATTCAAGCCAACCGAGATAACAACACAGACAAGCTCACCCTGCCACGACTGCAGGCACTCCAGTATTACCTCCAACGGATGTGGAGAATGGGTTGGCTGCTACAGATGCAAAACTACGAGCATTTCTGACTGATTTCTGGAGCATCCTTGCATCGATGATTGACGAGAAGGTTTCACCGACAAGACGACAAAATTGACGGACTGCTACACTTGGCCGACCTGGCGTTACTCCATGGCAGGCTATTAAGCCCCATAAGGCGTTATTGTGCATCAGAGAAATAGACATAGTGCTTGCTATGCCCATGTTTTTCATATACTACGAATAAAAAGGTTGAGAGGGCGAGTTCAGATTCCTTATAACAAAATCCGTACCTTGATGTGGACTGGCGAGATAGCTCGTATGTTGACATATGTCATGTCCAGAGGTACTTCAGCTAAAGCTTGATTCCTACATACTATGGGTGCAGTAGGTTCTTCTCGATCATTCAGTAACCTAATCTTGTTGATGACATAGAGTTCTCTGGCTTGTTTGGGAATGTCACCTGGTGGAAACTTGAGGCCCTAAATACAAAAATAGAGAGCGTTGAGTGTCTGCGCTGTTGAGCACTCAAAACGAAGGCAGCTGTGCTTGTTCTCCATACTCACATAGTATCGTTTTTCATCCGCGCATTCTTCAATTACATGACCAGCCCAGCTAGCGTCAAACTGGTAGATCATAATCCTGTCATATGAGGTGATATGTTTGACTGCTTGAGCGACTATTTTTACGCACGTATCTAGATCTGGGACATTGAGCATGGATCGATTCAGTTGAGACAGGAGCTCAAACATTGGTATCATGTTTGCATTACTAGCTTTCCTTCTCTTCTTTTCCAACAATGTTTGTGCGATGGTGTTTGCATTGAATGGCGAGTATGGGATTGATGCAATATCGGTCATTGGTAGCCTGACTTGTGCATCTTCTTCCAATTCAAGTTCAAGGACAATCAGATCTGGATTTGTTGTCGTTGGTTCGCCCATTGAGCAATAACACGCTATTGAGTTGACGGTGAGGGTGAAGACCAAGGCAATCCGTTGAGCCAAGCATATTTCAAATTGTTCCTGGAATGTAGCAGCTTCAGATGGAGCAAGCACATCCGTGAATTTGTCGGCCGACAGAAAGGCCGAGGCTTCAATTCCCAGCAGCTTTTGCACATTGCTCGAGACCTGGAGAACGATTCGAAGGTGTAAGCGCAATGATTCAAAAGGGTTTGTTGTTGAAACAATCCTCAAACAATAGGATTGAATGTCCAAAAATCTCCAAGCTTTATACAAGCTTTTGAGAATATTTAAAGTTTTGCAACAGAAGGAGGTCATTGACGGGCAATGAGGGGAGAAACTGGCTAGATCACATACGTGCGTTACAGATCCATGAAGATCAATCGCTACTAAGAGACCATACGCCTGTACGGCACCTACGACAAAATATGTGACTCAGAAATGGTACACAGATGCAGCCGACTTGAACGATGATTATACAATAAATAATATACCTGGAGTCCTGATTGGTTCATCTTCGCAGGTTACATACTTGCCATTGGGCAATAAGACTCTTGGTGCTGCTGGCAAGACAGAATCAACGACGTTCGTTGCACCTGGACCAGAATTGGGACCTTGGATGCCTGGCATTTCGAGTTGTAGCCGTCTCGTAACTGGAAACTGCCTGCTCTCGAAGTTCATCACAGATGCATTATTCCTCAAAGCAAAGAAATCCATTGTATGCGATCCATAGATTTGGACAAGTTCAGCCTACCCCGCGCACAGAACCGGATGGAAGACGGTAATGGCAACGGGCAAGACTCTCGTTAATTGCTGACTTTCAGAGGTCTGGTTATTTCGATGATTATAGCCGTTGTTTATATTCACTTGCGTTGATCTTGCATCTCTAGACCAGGCCCTCAAAAGCCCCCAAGCGAATCGAGATGCGACTGTAGTGATATAGGCTATTTTTCTACGCGTTTACCACGATTCTAGCACGTTTCCACTTCTGGAATCTAAGAAACTGAGTCATTTTTCAAACTCCTATCCAAGCTACACCTCCAAAACCCCCAACTCAAAACATCACGAAATACGTCACAAACATTCCCAAAAACGAGCAAAAGCGTACACATTATCTCGTTTATATATATAGCTTAAACAACGATCATGGCTGGTAACAATGGCTGCTAACAACTTGTTTGATTGATTCAACTTGCTTTCTTTACATTTAAACCAACGTGATGTTTACATCGTCAATAACTCTACCAAAAAAAGGAAGGCACAATGCAATGCCAATGCCTGCTAAAACTAAAAATCTTTACGCGTTACATAGTTCGCATTAGGAAGCAACAATACTCTGGGAGCAAATGGAACTACGATGTCGATTGTAATTTGATACACCGGGAGCAGCATGATGGAGGCCTAACTTTCGAGCTTGACCCGTAATTGTTGATTATCGTTGATGAGCTTTGGAGCTCCACAATGTACCGGCGCCGCCGCCAAGCAATGCCAATGCCAATAACGTCAATGCCGTTTAACATCATGATGCTAATCAAGCGACGCAACCAATGCCAATGCGCCACATGCGACGCGTAAAGACTTTATTCTTGGCCAAATCTTTTCTTGTTCAGAAGATTGACATAGCCGTCTCCTTCCATCTCCAATAAAACATCAAAACACCAGCAGCAAGCAACTCTGCTCGCCAAGCAAGTTTCAAAGCAAACACAGCCCTACTAGAAAGAGTGTACATACTCATTCTTTTCCGTAGCTACAACAAAGATTATATCTGGTAAGGCCATTTTTCATCTATTCGCTCGTGGTTTACAACGCTAGCAGTATTAGTGCAAATTGTAACATCTCGACATTGTCACCAATAGCTCAACCAAAAGGAATGTACAATGCAATGCAAATGCCTGCTCAAGGAGCTCCTCAGGTATGATATATGACATGATCGTGCCAAGAGTACAATGTTGTTTATCTAAGGTGTGGATTTATGATGACAACAAGATCCACATCGAGCCATTTGCTTTCTTTTCAGTCTAGAGATGAAAAAATTGTTGTTACATGCTTTTCCAAGCCATTCTAACTCGGTACATCATCGTCATTATCATGTAGGTCATCTACGTCCAACAACCAGCTCCAGTAAGCCCAATGTTTGGACCGTCTACTGCCATATTGATACTTGATTCGTGATGATCTTTCATAACTTGTGATGATCGCTTGGCATTCAATCAGACAACTGTCTGCTGACACACCTGTCTGTCGGAAATAGCCACGTCAAAGGACTGGATTAATGGGTTGTTTGGCTGGTAAATATCCACCCTTTCACTTTGTCACTTTGATGACTCGATCTGTGATGATGTGCCGCCCATCTCTTGTCTAACATTCTTTCTTCCATCTTTAGCCCTGTGTTTCTGTAAGCGACGTCTGCTGTGTCAACCACCGACGATGATGCCAATTGTTGCGTGGTTTCTTTTAACTGCCTTGAAACTCACCTACACTTCCTCACTGTATAGGTTTTGCCCTTGAAGAATGTGCGTACCTAGTCCAAAATCACTTGGCGTATGACACACTGACGTTAATACATATCTTCAACACTAGGTTGTACATGCTGCAATTGCTGTGATTGCTGTGGTTGTGAATGTTGTGATTGTGATTGCTGTGGTTGCTGCTGTTAGGCAAAATTGTGGTCCTCCCTCTTTTTGGCTGTAAAAACATGAAAATGGCCTCGTCTCCATGTTACATCTTACTTGAATGTCGTGTATAAACATTTTCTCATTGTTACAAAATACAATGTTTTCCAACAAAGACCTGTATCGAATCATGGTTTAAGGAGGTTTTAAGTATGAGATAAAAGGTCTATCATAACGTTGTTGGTCCAAGTTGTGGATTTTGGAAGAACTACTGACTTAGCCGAAGCATACTAAATCTTTACAACTCGATCTACTTCTAGGCCGTCTACGTCGAACAACCAGCTCCAGTAATGCCGCTTTTCATTGCATTCCGTGACAAAGTCGGCTCTTACGAACACCACAACTCTCCAACAAAAGGGCATCCACAACAATCTGGACTGATGGCATGCTTGACAAGTAAGTTTGCAGTAATCTTGGCGTTTGTGATGAACTGTAATCTTGTCTGATATTTCAAAATTTCAATTTAGCACTACTTTGCTGTTGTGTGCTTGCGGAAACTTGTGCATGCTGTAATTGCTGTGATTGCTGCGGCTAGATGAAAATGGTGGCCCTCTTCACTGTGGCTAAAATCTTGAAACTGATCCTCGTCTCCATATTTTGTTGAGGTAAATGAATTCTCAACGATGGAGCGCTGTCATACTATAAATTTGCTTTCAGCGTTCCGAATAAATTATACGTTACCATATCACACTTGATTCGAAAATGTGGTCAAGTAATGTTGTCCAATCTGATGTATCACTGTACAAGTGACCCGACGTTCCGCGACGTCACGGGAGGAGAATCATGAGCAGCTTTGACGAATATCATGAAGTATTGAAGCGTCTCTTCGGGCTCTTTTTCGGAAAACCCCAGTGAAGAACGTCAATTGTCGCAATAATGTCACTGTGATCGACACGGACGCCCGGAGCAGAAAGGAACTTACACTGGTCGCTCATCGTGCAATTGACAAGCGAAACCACTTCGTCAAACTCACAGTATCAACTTCTCGAAACCGTTCCGTAACTCCTTCCAAAATGGTGTAATTGTATGTTCAGAAAAGCGATCAATGCACGAACGCTACACTTCTAACGCGTAATAACCACGCATTTATCTTCAGATCCATCTAAAAATATATTTCCCACATGACATACCGCCATCTCATACCTAAAAAAGCTTGCCCCTGTATCTGGTGTTTCTCCCCCAACCTTAACATTTCTTCTCTTGCCATTTGCATCCCCCACAAACTCAAACACGCAACTAACGAGCAAACTACCAAGAAACATCTAAAGCTCCATCCAAACCGCTACACACGTATCAAATCATGTCTGGAATGCCAAGTAAGTGTACATGTACCGTCTCCTTTGTCTTTTGCGTCCGAAATGTGTGATTTGCACTGCCGCCGATAGGAAATGCCACTTAAACACACAGTGCTGGTGTACTAACGACGCTACCATGATTTTTTATAGCTCAAACCCAATACCCACCACAACAAGGTGCTGCTATGCCCGGCTTCGAACCTCAGGTAAGCTTGGTTTCGAGATTGTGATCTTGGCACAGTTCCATACGTTTTAGATTTGCAAAGTCTTCATTTGTCATTGTGTACTCATAATGCTTGTATTCCACCATGATAGACCATGGCCATGAATCCCGAAAAGTCTCAACCCGTAAGTGCATCCAACTTACTCGGACCCTTCATGATGGCTCCTGTAGCAGGGAGCCCAATAGAATATTCTACACCGACTATTCTCCACCTTTTGACTATCGTGAATTTCACGTCGCCTGACATGATGTTTTATTCCCTACCATAGCGTCAAGAACACGGAGGACTTATGGCTTGTCTCGCCGGTAAGCCCTTAAAAGTTTCGTGATGGACAATTTGTCAGTGACTTTGATCCGTCTTATTGCGTCGATCTCGCCTCAGCCAGCTGCAGCAACTTTGATCACTCTTCCTAACACGTTCGCCCTTTAACTAGCCATGTGTTTCTGCTTCGCCTGTGACGAATGCTGTTGTGGAGGCTGTTGTTAAACGGACTAAAATAATGTTGATATGAAGTCACCCATCATATGTATGAAATCATAAGTCGCGTTGAAAAGAAGAGAGGGACGATTTGGTGGGAAGCTTTAGTGGTGTTATTTTTTTGGCTCAAGTTTGTTGGTAGTTTGCTCTTCATATAAAAACAGTCATGCCTCTATACTAATCTTGTATTTATGTCAGTGATTCGGCCTCTATGTTAGTCTATGTTCATCAGCATTACCGGGGTGCTTCTCGGAGGTTGGTGCAGCGAACGACGTCGGTGCTTTGAACAACACGGGCACGATTGAACGCAGCAATAGCTGTGTTTACACGATGTGCTCATGGGACAGGGGTGGCTTATACAGATCCTTTTGTTGTGAGCTCTGCCAACTTTTCTTGTTCTCACAGACACAAATTCCAACGAGAGAGCCAACAGGTGTCCTTAGAAGTCATCGAAATAACGATCGTTCAATAACGATAAGGAATCATGACGCATGTGATTCCGCTGTCGTGTAGACTTTTGTTCCATGACACAACTCCAAAAATGTAGCTAAACAAACATTACACATCGTAAAGGTAGAAAGTATAATAAAAGATGCATATTATTGCAAACTTGCACCCAATGAAATTTCCCCTCCCTTACTACTAAAGATATTGAAAAAGCACACAACACACACGAATGACCACTTTTTGCTTTGGCAAATAATAAAATACCACTTGATGAGGCGTTCCATATAGTTCCGAGTCGACAGGAATCGACCAGATTAACAGCATAGAGCACAACCTAGAGAAAAAGGTAAAGAGTGAATATCACCGATGCTCCAGATTTTGATGTTTGCTAACGTACATTCTTCAAGAGCACAACCTATAGTGGAAAGTAAAGAGTAAGAACAGTCAAAGTGATAAGAAAATAGTGATTTAACAGGAAACTTCGTCGTCATATGACAACCAGAACACCGAAACAAAGTCTATAGCTTACAGAAACACAAGGCTAATGGGGGGCAGAATAGTGTCAGAACACATTGCATAATCATAAAAAATGACATATGAAA